GAGTTCAGATGTTATGTAACTTTTTTGTTTACGTAAGTAATAGGCAATCTTGCTGCATCCTTTCCTTGGGAGTATTAAGATGTTGACCAGTCCACGCGAACCAGCGCCCACCTCAGTGACGTTTACAACGCTGTAAACACCACACCTACGCGTCCTACCTATATTTTACAATTCCACCGCATGTAAATGTACCGACGAGGATTTAAGCAATACGACTGTACATATGGATTAGAATTGGAATTCATTTACGTGTGGGAGCACGGATACATCAAATTTATCTAAACACGCTCGGCATGGAAAGTGCGCAATGGACGTCTACACATGTAACGTCGTTGTCACCGCGCCAAGCGAAAATTAGTCAGCGGCGAGAAGAACACTGAGAAAACGATATTATATATATATGTATATATTATAATATATAGAAAGTAGGAAGCACGATGTCACGATACGATTTCATGACTGGGCAGCTACAGCTTCTGGAGAATTGAAACGAGTCCTGCGGCAATGCGCCTTCTGGCTGACACACACACACTACCACACGCGCGCGCGAAGAATAGTTTCAGTTACTGCGTCCGTGGATTTTTTTTTCTTCAATTTTTCATTGTTGGTTTCGACAGTAAACCAAATGCCGTGACAATTTTTGAGCAGCGATTTAATAAAACAGAACAATTGTAGAATACGACTAACTGCTAACGGGAAGATAAATTCTCGGTCAGACCTAAAATAGTACTCATTGTTAGCAACGAAAGTCGATAAAAAAACTCGCAAACGATAAGAATTTTATACAAAAGTGGATAAATATGCTGTAACAACTCCCTGTCGACAACGTCACGCACGCTCGGCAGCACGCACACCACACGCACAGACAACACACGCGCGCGCACACCACAGACGCACAACGCACGGTACGGCACCGCTACGCCACTCACACACACACACGCACACGCGCACGCGCCACGGCACGCGCACAGCACACACGCAACACCACGCATCGCCACACGCACACGAACACGACATGCAAGCCAGCAAGACACACGCGCGCGCACACACCAACACAGCACACAATACGCGCCGGCGCACGCAGACGCAAACCAACACAACCGCACACGCACACACCCAACAGCACACACACACACACAGACACACGACACACAGCACACACATGCATGCAGCCCCCGCCACACACAACTGACAACATGCATGCACCCACCCCCGCGCCCACACCACTACATGCATGCACCCCCCCCCCCACAACACACACACACATCATGCACCCCCTCCCCCCACACACCACTCATGCATCCCCCCCTCCCACACACACACATGCATGCACCCCCCCCCCACACAACACATGCATGCAACCCCCCTCCCCGCCACACAATCAGCACCACACCACACACACACACACCAACAACACACACACCACACACACCCACCACAGACTACTCGATAAGCTATATAGGAATCGGCTCACCTGTAGATAAGACGATCAGTTTACAAAGCGTGGTAGGCCGAAAACCACGTTTCCCAATGTGTCCCAGAAGCAGCGTCGGAGGCAAGCAGATGAGAATTCACACCATAAGTCAGGGAATCGCCAGGTTCACAAATGAAGATGTTGGTGACGGTCTGCATGTGCGGGGTTGCGAAACACGGCCAGGCAGACGAGAAAGTTCCCGACGAGACCGACGACGAACAGAGAGCGTAGAGAGCGTACAGCAAACGCACTCGTAGGCTGTTCGGAAAACGCATAGTCCTCGATCTCGGTCAATGTAGTCTTCCTCCGGACACGCATTTCTGCTGCCACACAGTAACCGGGCGCGCAGACGTCGGTGCTGTCAATTACGCGTCGCGTTTCCGACGTCCGACGCTTCCCATGACCGACCAGCCGTGTGCTGCTGCTGCTGGCTGCTGCTGCTGCTGCTGTGTGGTGGTGGCTGATGTTGGTGGCTGCTTGGGCTGCTGCTGCTGTTTTTTTTTTCTGCTGCGCTGCTGCTGCTGCTGCGTGGGTTGGGGGTGGGGCTGCTGCTGCTGGTGCTGCTGGTGGTGCTTGGTGCTGCTGCTACTGCTGCTCTGCTGTGCTCTCTGCTTGTGCTGGCTGTGTTTGTTGTGTTTGTTCTGCTGTTGTTGTTTTTGTTGTTTTTCTGTCCATTTTTTCTAGTTAAGTTCCTCGGGATTCAACTTCGTCGCTTCACGTCCGACCAGATTGTGGCGACCAATGATTGGCGGCAAAACGTCACTAACTGCCACAACTGTCACAGGCTTGTCACCGGACTGTCACTGGCTGTCACAGGCTGTCACAGGCGCTGTCACTGGGCTGTCATTAGATATCACAAACGTCCATTGAGTTGCCACAGCTCGCGGCGGTGTCACCTGCAGATTTTCCGACAGTTGTCGCCTGTTTACTGCGGGTCATCTGCAATGTCCAGTGAGTGTCACGGCTCATCACCTGTCACTCGTGCCTGTCACGTCGCGTGTCGCGCCGCGGACTACACTCGATGACACGGTCACCGATCCACGGAGCGCGCGCGCGTGCACGCACGCTCACTCACACGCGCCTGCCAAACGAACAAGAAGAAGCACGCGTGCGTTAATGAGAGACCTCGCCGCGATGAGAAGGAGATTGTCGAGGCCTGTGTAGGGAGAGAGAGACTCTGGTCCGCCTTTAACCCGCGGTGAGGCTCGGCGGCGGCTAGACGCGTGTCTGCGCGGCAGCCGCCGTCAGAACACGGCGGGCGGAGATGCGAGATGCCAGAGATGCGGAGGAGGGGGAGGAGGGAGAGGAAGGCAATATTAGAAGTTGTCATTAATGAATTCTGCACAAATGAAAATAGATGGAATTTGCGCGGCCCGACGAGCGGGGCGCCTACATCCGAGTGGAAATGCACCAAAGGAAGCCACTAGCTGACGCGATCACGAAGGAGATCTTCCTCGTAAATTATCTCGATTCGGCGATGCGTGCATCTGCGCAAATGCGGCCAGAAGGCGCAGTCGCCGCTATTAGACGTGCTTAAGAAAGTAGAGAAAGCGCATTCCCTGTTGCGCTATAGGGAAATGAATGAAAATCAATTGAATTATCAAAGGGCCCTTTGAAAACCTTTGGTTTCGGTTAAACCAACTATCAGTACAGTGCTATAGCGAAAGTTGAAGAGTCGACCAATGTTCATTGTCCATCAAGGGCGGTAAATAAATAATAGATGGGAAGTCTATATTGATGTATTAGTGATGATTATTATTCATGATGAAACGGGTACTAATTGGTTATGATTATTATTATTATTATTATTGACGCCTACCAGTTATCGGTATGCAGGCTCGCGTCATAATTGCCAATCCATCATCGTCCATCACATGAATCCGGGGGCCATCACGCAGATTGGATATTCCGTTTCATGAATTAACTTCCGATAGCGTGAAACTAATTAGGAGAGAACTCGAGACCGTCGATAAAGTAACGTTACTATTAGAGCACGTATTCACTGCTTACTATTGTCGTGAAATGTAAACCCAGGATGAGTATCCCCCCCCCCCATATTCCGCCGCCAACCGGCATCACGCGCGGACAATACAGGCGATAAACATCGCTACGATAAGTATGCCTGGCATATATATCGACGGCTAGAGAGAGATCGTTCTATTGAGAATTTTCCAATGAGGATGGTTTGCAAAAGTCTATGTCTAGGTTGAGATATAGGTGCTGGATTTCAACAACGCGTCATAAATCATTTCCGGTATTATTAGTTCGTATATATACTATATATATATATAGTACTATACGCGAATATTATAGTTATAAAGTAATTTATATATAT